TCTACTTATAGAGGTGATGATGTGGGGAAAGCAAGTTTTGTTAAGGAGAAGATTGTCAGTGATGATTGGTGGGAACACATGTCTTATATTATTGATTTTACAAGATTTATTTATGAGATGATTAGGTTTTGTAACACTGACAAGCCATGCCTTCACTTGGTTTATGAGATGTGGGATTCTATGATTGAGAAGGTGAAGTATGAGATCTTTAAGAGAGAAAAACGTCCAGTCTTTGAAGATAGTCCTTTCTACAATGTTGTTTATGAGATCTTAGTATATCGTTGGGCGAAGAACAACACTCCTCACAACACTCCTCTGCATTATTTAGCTCACTCTTTAAATCTGAGTTATATGATGTATTCTTGCTTTTAGTTTTCTTTCCACATATATATAACTTGTTTTCTGTATTGTAGATTTTATAGTGATGAATGGTTAAGTGGGGATCCCGCAAGAACTAGTCCACATAGAGATGCAGAAGTCTCAATAATGAGAGGGAAGTGTTTTCAAAGATTGTTTTCCAATACTGAGGATCATCTTAAGGTTTTAGATAAGTATGCATTGTTCTCCACGAAGAATGGTCATTTTCAGGATTTAACATGCATTTCAGTGATGTTTACTATGGAACCCAGGAATTGGTGGGCTAACTTTGGTGCTCAAACTCCTCTCCAGCAGACTTTGGCTTTTGGGTTGCTTGTTAGTTCATCTTCATGTGCTGAGCGCAATTGGAGTACTTACGTATTCATTCACTCTTTTAGAAGGAACATGTTGAATCCAAGTCGAGCTCAAGACCTAGTTTTCATCCACCACAACTTACGTCTTTTATCAAGGAATTCCGATCAATATGAAGAAGAACAGACGAAGATGTGGAATGTTTGTGGAGATGATTTTGATTCTATGAAAGATGTGGGATTTTTGGAATTTGCAGCCAGATTTTGAAAATGTGTTACTCGATGATTAATATCTTCTTTATTTTATTTATGATATTATATTTAAGTGCTTTTTTTACTTTGAGATTTATTTTGAGATTTATCATTTGAATTTTTTATATTTTAAAAATATAAATATTTAATATATTTTTTTAGAATTATCTATGCCGTACCTGTATCTATAAATTTTTTAGTTTTCTCGTTTCCGTCCCGAATCCTGTCCCCGTTTCCGTCTCGGTGCAACACTGAGCAGAACCCCAAAATTTGAATTACGACAGAACTAAAGAAACCTTGTGTCCAAGTTTTTTCTCTTTCTCTAACATACAATAAGAAGAACCAATCCTGAATCAATCTTTGCCCTAAACCGATTATATGAATAGCAATCAAGATTGACATACTCAGTGAGTCTTGGATTCTCATGGTCAAAACAACTAATATCAGAAACCCCTGTTTCTGAGACAGAGGATTAAGCAAAGAGTATCAAGCTTGGTGAGTTATCATAAACACACAAGAGATTCTCTTATAGAAGTCCTAACTTCTGTGCATAGCAACAACGGAAGTAGCTACTAATTCTAGGTTTGACAATAATGTGCTATATGGTTACACTTTTTCTAATTAATTTGTCAATCTTGGTTTTAATTAATTGAACTTTGCGAAGAACCATAAAAGGATCTGCTCTCTTTGGCAGTGAGACATAGATTATATTGAGAGATACATAATTGACTAGAAATCCTTCGTAGATCTCAAATACGATTAAATCAAAGCCTGAAAGGTAGGTCAAAGAGAAAGAAGGATCACCATAAAGCACTGAGATCCGTGGGGACGATGACGATGGCGTACGAGAGAGAAAAAGGTGTTTTAAGAAGATAATGATTCTGATTAATTCTCTAGATAATTCCAGTACAATGTACATAAGGTGTGATTATTGTTGCAACGGTTTAACATTTGACCTTAACCGATATGCAAACCGGATTATTTAAAAGACATTAAACCGATTGTAAATATAAATAAAGAACCGATGGATAAGAATGCAGAGAAAGCCTGTCACAATACTCCCTGCTTGACATCATCTTTGTCCTCAAAGATGGAACTGCGGATACTTAGCGATGAAATCCTGATAGAACTCCCATGTAGCGCTCTCTGGTGGCTCTCCCTTCCACTGGACCAGTATCTTACTGGCCGCGGTGTTCTTGTGCTTAACCACCTTCTTATCCAGCACGAGTTCAGGTTCCTAGAGTTGCCCAGAACCAACCAATATTGTGGCAATACTGGTGTAAGAGCAGTCGGCGGGTTATGACATAACTTCAGTTGGCTGACATGGAAGACATTATAAATCGCTGCATCTGCCGGGAGGTCCAATTTGTAGGCCACAGCCCCCACCTTATCAACATCACGGAACGGACCATAGAAGCGAGGAGACAACTTATGAGGAATTTTTCGAGTCTTAAGTGAGTGCTGACGGTACGGCTGTAACTTTAAGTACACAAAGTCACCCAACGCGAAGGCTCGAGGTGATCGATGAGAATCAGCTGCTTGTTTCATTCTGTTCTGTGCTCGCAGCAAGTGAAAATTCAGCATAGTAATCACCTCTTCACGCTTCTGCAAGCTGCAATCAACAATGACGGTTGAGCTCTCACCAGGCAAGTACGGGAGATATAACGCAAGTGGCTGTCCATAAACAACTTCGAAGGATGTCCTGCGGATGTTAGAGTGGTAAGTGGTGTTATGCCACCATTCGGCCAGGGGCAGCCATTTACTCCATGTGTGCGGAGCTTTAGTGGTCATACAGTGCAAATAGATCTCGAGAGTTTTGTCGGTAATTTTGTCTGGCCATCAGTTTGAGGGTGGTAAGCTGTAGAGTGTTTCAGCTCAACTCCGTGTACCCGAAACATCCCTTTCCAAATTTCACTGAGAAAGGTTGGATCCTGATCGCTAACAATATCCTTTGGCATGCCGTGAAGCTTGAAAACCTGATCCAAGTAAGTTTGAGCAACCTCCGGAGCAGTGTAAGGATGTAATCGTGGCAGAAAATGAGCTTTCTTGCTTAACCTGTCCACGACAACCAATATACAGTGCTTACCAGCGGATGAGGGAAGACCCTCGATAAAATCCATGCTGATTGATTCCCAAAAACTCGAGGGAACAGGGAGTGGCTGGAGTAACCCCGGTTTAGCGATGTATTCGTACTTGTTTGTCTGGCAAACATCATAATTATGGATGTAGGCTTGCACTTCCAAGTTCATCTTTGGCCAGTAGAAGAGGGATTTTATGCGGTGAACAGCCGAATCATGCAACCAAGTGAGAATGTGGGTTTTCACTATCACATCATTACCAACCACAAGTTTGCCCTTTCTCCTAAGTTCATCATTTACAAATGTATACGCAGGATGAGAGGAAGGATCAGACTAGAGATCAGTGATTACCTTAGAGAGATGCGGGTTTGTTTTCCACAAAAGCTTGAGGGCATCGTAGAATCCGTGATGAGCTTGAGACAGAGTAAGCTGAAGAAGCTGCGAGCCCTGTTTGTATTGGATTTCAAAGTCGTAGGCCATCAGTTTGGAAAGCCACATGAATTGAAACGGCGTAGAGAGACTTTCTGTTCCACCATGAACTTGAGACTCTTTTGATCCGTTTTAATAATGAAGGGCCTATGCGACAAGTATGCGCCCCACGTTTAAACCGCGTAAACAACAGCCATGAGTTCTTTCTCATACACCGAAAGAGATTGGTGGCGAGGTACCAAACATGGCTGATGAAGCAAATAGGATGGTGATCTTGCATTAAAACCGCGCCGATACCCGTATTCGAAACGTCTGTTTCAACCACAAATTTTTTAATGAAGTTAAGCAGAGCCAGGACAGGAGCAGAAGTGAGAGCTGTTTTGAGGTTATTGAACGCTGCTGCTGCATCGGATCCCCATGTAAACCCATCCTTCCGTAGGAGGAGTGTAAGAGGGCGAGCAATGATACTGTACCCTTGTATAAACCTCCGGTAATAGTTAGAAAGGCCGTGAAAACTACGGAGCTGTTTCTTATTAGTAGGAGTAGACCACTAAGAAACCGCCGAGATTTTCTTTGCACAAGTGCTCACACCTACAACTGATAAAATGGCCCAAATACTCCATGTTGGTAGCCCCAAACGTGCATTTGGATGGCTTCAGATATGTTGGCTGCGCAGGATAGTGAACACCTTGTGGAGATGAGATAAATGGCACTCCCAGCTCGGGCTATAAACAAGAATATCATCAAAAAAGACCAGAACCGATTTCCATGCCACCTCCTGGAACACATGACTCATCAAACTCTGAAATGTGCAAGGAGCGTTAGACAGACCAAAGGGCATCACAAGAAATTAAAAGTGCCCAGAGTGAGTCTTGAAAGCTGTCTTATACACATCATCGGGTAACATTCTCAACTGGTGGAACCCTGCGCGCAAATCCAACTTAGAAAAGAATTTTGCACCACCTAATTCATCCAACGGATCCTCGAGTAAAGGGATCGGGTATTTGTCTTTGATGGTCTGCTTGTTGAGCCGTCTATAGTCCACACATAACCTCCAGGTGCCGTTTTTTTTCTTCACGAGAACAATGGGGGAAGCGTATAGGCTAGAGCTGCATTGGATAATGCCATGGTCAAGCATCTCCTTAATCATCTTATCAACCACGTCCTTTTGCAAAGTAGAGTAGCGATATGGGCGTAGGTTGACGGGATTTGAACCAACTTCCAAAGGTATCTTGTGGTCAAACCCCTCGCAAAATGGTGGTAATCCCACTGGTTCTTCAAACAAATCAGAAAAGGAACTTAGCAGAGATGACATAGCAGGGTCAGAGGCTGAATCATCACCAGGGGTAGCCACATGAGACATAAAAGAAGTGGGAGCCAGCGGATAAAACAGCAGAATCATCAATCTCTCTGAACTGCAACAGAGAAAATTGTGGTTGTTGCAGCAAGAGCTTGTTGAAGCTATTGTTCTTGATGAGTTAACAGCTTGTTTTTGTGACACCACGCAGGACATGTTTCTCGCCATTGATGTTGAACTCCATTCAAAAGTTGTGAAAGTGCCACAGAATAAGGCCTAAAGGAGCGAGCCATTGAACACCAACCAACACGCAGCCTTGGAGAGAAGTGTCTGAATTTCAGAGGTGTAAGAGTGGCCTTGTACTTTCCAACAGAAATCCGAGTACCTGTAGTGAGTCACCAAGTCACCGCTCGCAGCTGCTACAGACATGGGGAGCATTGCTTCCATGCGACAACCGAGCTCCTTGGCTACTTGGATATCCGGGAAGTTCTGAGTTTTATCTCCATCGACCAAGATATGAAGCTTTCTCTTTCCGTAAATCCCCACCACACACATACAGTTGAATGTGGCTGAACCGCTGAGTGTGTTGGAGAAATGGTAGGGATGGGATCTGGAAAGCTTGTTGGAGGAGTTTCGGTGGCTGTCACGATTTCTGCAGCCAGAGGCAGTTCCTCTTCATCCTCATCATCACATTCAAGGACATATATATGAGAGCGTTTATGCTTGAGTTGATGCCCATGTGTAAAAGCATAATCACAGAACGTACACTGCCCTTGAGCGCGGCGGTCCTGAATTTCCTGGTAACTGAATTTGCGAGGTAGCTTCTCCTCATTTGAGCGAGGGATGAAACCAGATTTAGCTGGGCTCGAAGTGTCGGGCAGGGGAAGCAGTGGTGCTGTAGTCGGACCCTTAAGGGAGGTGAAACTGGATTGCTTCGGGCTCGACAATGGATTGAAGGGAGCTCATTGAGTTCTCTGAGGTGTTTGGGCGAGGGCAGCCTCATGGAGCTTAGCGATCCTCGCTGCTTCAGAGATAGTAGTGACAGCGAACTGCCTCACATGGAGCAACAGATGCGGTTGCATATTCGTGAGAAAAATGCTTTGAGCATGAGACGTAAGGAGAACGAGATGAGTATAGGCACTCTCGAATTTTTTGTGGTACACCTCAATAGAATCATTACCCTGCTTCAGCGAAACCAGCTCAGACATATGATCATTGAAAATACCGCTGAAACGGCTCGAGATCTCAACCACATATTCGGACCAGGAAGGAAGGAGCCCGTATATCTCGGAGATGAAGTTGTGATGCCACTTAAGCGCCTCATCCTCAAGATGTATAGAGGCCAGCGGAACACGTTGTTCAGGAGGGGTGTTGTCGAGGTTGAAGAATTGATCACAGCGATAGATCCATTTGCGTAGCTTGGACCCGTGGAAAATGGAAAACCCAACTTCGTAAGACGGGAGGAGAAGCTGTTTGGTAACAGAAGGGGGCGAGGTTGCTCGAACAGCCCCTTTTCAATTGGATCTGATCGAACCCAGGCCGACCGGGTGGAACCGGCAGCCTACTAGAACCAGGAGAAATCATCTCAGCGGAAGGTGAGGCGCTGAACTCCTGGTTTGGGTGGGGATAAGTAGATCCATGTGAGAACTGAGCGAAAATCAGCGATTCGAGCTTGGAGAACCTCGCATCAAGTGAATCGACGTGGCCCTTGAAATCACCGGATTGCTTATCCTGGCGGAGTCGCAGATCCTCAAGAGCTCAGCGAGAGCACACTTCTCTTGTTGCCATGTTTCCTCTATCGTTGAACTCCCTAGAACCATATGAGCTCTGATACCAAGACAGAGATTATATTTTGTGATATATAATCAACTATAAATCCTCCGTGGATCTCAAGTACGATTGAATCAAAGTCTGAAAGGTAGGCCAAAGAGAAAGAAGGACCACCTTAAAGCACTGAGATCCGTGGGGAAGATGACGATGGCGTACGAGAGAGAAAGAGGTGTTATAAGAAGATAATGATTCTGATTAATTCTCTCAATAATTTCAGTACAAAAAGGTGTGATTATTGTTGCCACGGTCTAACATTTGACATTAACCGATATGAAACTGGATTATTTTTAAGACATTAAACCGATTCTAAATATGAATAAAGAACCGATGGATAAGAGTGCAGAGAAAGCATGTCACAGGCAGGTTTCATTTAGTAATGTGGTTGCTTGCTTTTGTTGACAATACTGTCTTGTGTCTCAGCCTAAGTTCCATAATTAAAACTAAGTGATAAATAATCATTTAGTCTTTGTGGTTACTTGCTCTTGTTTTCATTGGTTTGAATTAATTTTTCAATCACGTTTTTAATTGATGATAAGATCCTCAAAGGCTGAGGCTCGCTTGGGGAATGCACGAGACTGAAAGCTGGACTAAAGTCACTCTCTTTCAACCGGTTGGATGGAATATGGTCGAAGTGGATAGATGGCGCCTGTTCAAGGGACTATAGCCACTCCTTTAGAAGACTGGTTGGATGATGTTGAATAGAGGGATGGATCGATGGTCGCCACAAAGCATGATGGTAAAGGAAATGATAAGACAAGTTAAACTGGACAGAAATCGAAATGCCTAGAAAAACTGAATAAGAGAGAACTCTTTGAGAAAATGCTTTGTTCTTTATTGATTGTGTGAAAAATACAAGGCTGTGAGGGGAATTTATATAGAGTCCAAACAGCTATACCCTTATAGGGGTCTTGAAACAGATTACAATAAATATAGCTAAATTAAAGGGATTAAAAATTGCTAACAATTGCCTAATCTAATGGAAATTCGAAATTAAAAGTAAATGCAAGAAAATCAAGACAAAAACAAAGAAAGTTAGTCAAACAATATAATGGATTCATTCTTACCTTGGCATGATTGGTAGGGATTTCTTTGACATGATGAAGGGGATGAACCTGGACGCTTTAGGTTGGGAGAATGATAAATAAGGAAACTTCATGTCCATACTTGATGAGTGGCCATTATTCCATGTATTTTCTTGGACCGTCCTTCATGAAATAATCCTCCTCTTGATACGGTTTGGTTTGCATCTCCCAGCTTCCTTGGTTTCTAAGCATTTCGGTTTGACCTTGATCTTTGGAGATGGTTACCTTTGTCAGCTGCTTGGTTATGTCTATAACCTCTTGATCGGCAAGTAATGACTCCATAGCTTGGTTGAAGTCTCCCTTAGCCTCTTAGCTCCTGCTCTAGTCAAGGGTGGGACGTTCATAGCTGGAACAGGGATGGTCGGTAGAATATTGGTACTTGGGATCACATCATCCTCACCCTCTTGTAAAGGTTCTGTCCTCAGAACTGTTTCATCTGCATCATAAGGAGCTAAGTCAGATACATTAAAGGTTGTGAAAATATTAAACTCACCTGAAGATCAATCTGGTAGGCGTTGTCATTGATCTTTTTAACCACTTTGAATGGTCCCTCTCCTCTGAGTGCTAGCTTGGACTTCCTTTGGCGTGGAAACCTTTCGGCTCTCATGTGTAGCCATACCCAATCTCCTGGTGTAAACCTGACACTCTTACGACCCTTGTTCACACATTTTGTGGTCTGCTCGTTTCTCTTCTCAATGTGCTCTTGGCCTTTTGGTGTAGCTTCTTATCAAACTCAGCCTTGGCTTCTCCATCTTGGCTGATTTGTTCCCTATGTGGTAGTGGTATGAAAACCAAGGGAGTGCTAGGCTTAAAACCATACACAAGCTCAAAAGGAGAGAATTTAGTAGTAGAGTGTGGTGTTCGGTTATAAGCAAATTCGATGAAAAGGAGACACTCAAGCCAATTTCCTAAGTTGTTACCGACTGTGGCCCTTAAGAGGGTGGATAGTGTGCGGTTTACGACTTCAGTCTGTCCATCTGTTTGGGGGTGACAAGTGGTAGAAAAGAGTGATAAACAGAATGTTTGGGAGCTGAATATGAAAGCCAAATGCACATGTTAATGATGTAGTATAGTGCAAGAGGTGTCAATCCAGCCTAGGTTGTAGAAAGCCATTAAGAATGCAAGAGCAATGCAAAGCTAAAGCAGATTCGGGGAAATTCGGGAGAAATTATACAAAAACTAAATGCAATGCGAAATGAACAGGAAACCTATTTTAAAATCCCTGGAAGAGGGTTAAAAACTACTAGAAGAAAACAGAGGATTAAAAATGCAAAACTACTAATTACTAAAAATCGAGAACTAAAGCGGGTAAATAGAGAACTTCTAGCAACTTAAGGTTATATGCAATGAAACAGAAGCAAAGATGCGAACTTTAAAGACTTGGAAACGAAAACTTGAGGTTTTGAAATGCTAAAAGAGGGATCTAAGGTTGAGGGTCATATTAAGAAGGTTAAAGTTTCAAGCTTGGGTTTTGAAAAACATAAATCTACTCATTTGATGAGCTTTCTCTAAGCCTTGAGAAGCTAAAAGAGGTTTATCCATGGTTTGTGGTATAAACCCTTTCCTTAACCCTTCCTCCAAACCCATGGTTTGTGGTCGAAAGAAGGGTCGAAGAACATTAAGGTTAGATCTCAAATAGTGGCCTAATTAGTCCCCTAAGCAACCATGGTGTTTGGGAAAGGGAAACTAATCTCTTGGATCTGGTAAGGTAAGGAGATCTCTGAGATCATAAAGATCTTTCCCAAGACTCTTTAGGCATTAAGCCCCCAAATCCAAGAAGAAGAATGAGTTGAAAACAAGAAAAGACCCAAGCTTTAAACCCTTAAACCCTCTAAATCGCCCCAACCTTAAACCCAAAAACGAACTACTCACTACTCATGATTAAAACCGATTGAAATGTAGAGAAAAGAGAGCTAAGCATTATTAAAGAAGATAGATCAAGCAAATACTCAATGATTAAGGAAATATTAAGGTTTTTAAAATAAGGAAAGCTTGAAATCGTAACAATGGAGGTTTTTCTCCTTCGACCGTAAGAAAAGCTAAAAAGGTCCAAGACAAATCAAATGGATGAGAAACGATTGCCTAAAATGGCCAAAACATCAAAATGGTCCCCCCCACAAGAGTCCAAAAATGACTTGGCTGGATAAGGTTGTAGAGATCGAGTTGGGTGATCGATCTCTAGGTCAATCTTCTTCGTGGATCGTCTACTTTTGCTCGATCTTCTACTCGATCCTAGGATGATCGGGTCGTGCACTCGATCTGGATCTCGTTCTGCATGGCTTGATTCACGTATGTACACACGATCGATCACCTTGGTCGATCTTGAACTCGATCCCTTCTTTGAAACGATCTGGGCTTAGTCGATCTTCTGGTCGATCTCATCTAGATCGACCTGCCTAGCTCGATCCACCTCTCGACCTCAGCTCCTTTGCTACACGGCCGAGTTCTCCCAAGTGTCCACAAGCTCCATTTTGATCCTTAGCAAGTCCACTCAACCTCCACAGCTCCAGTGTGTCCAAAACAACCTGAATGTGATGTAATAATGCAAGAAATATACAAATACTAATGCAAAATGCTCTTAAGACCTAAAATGAGACAAATGGTGCAAACTAGCCTAAAATGAGAGATGAATGCATGAAAAACTACTCTAAATCCCTGCTAAAGATGCAAAATATGTAAGTATATCAAAGAGAAGCTTAGTCCCGAGCTTTCTCCACAAAGTCTTCCAGAAGTGGCTTAGGAACTTGGTGTCCCGGTCTGAGACGATAGTCCTTGGCAATCCGTGAATTCTGACAATCTCCCTGAAAAACAGATCAGCAACCCGTGTGGCATCGTTGGTTTTGTTGCAAGGGATGAAGTGTGCCATCTTGAAGAACTGATCTACTACCACAAATATGGAGTCCTTGTCTCTTATTTTAGGCAGTCCTAACAAAGTCCATAGACACATCTTCCCAAGGCATGTTAGGACAGGTGCATGGGTACGGTTATCTTTAAGCTTCTGAAAAGTTTCTTCCTGTTTTGGCCCCCAAGTGAATGTAACATTCTTCTTGAACGCCGATAAAAGCTTGTTAGTCCGTAAAAATTCCGAACATGACCAATGGTCGTTGGCATGGGCCAGTTTTGTATAGCTTTGATTTTCTCTTTATCTAATTTTAGACCCTGTGAACTAACAACAAAACCTAAAAATACCAATTGATCAGTACAGAAAACACATTTTTGTGATTAGCATATAATTGTTCTAGCTTTAAAGTTTCTAAAACTTTCTCAAGATGATTAAGGTGTTCATCTAAGCTAGTGCTGTATACTAGAATATCATCAAAATATTAGCATATAATTGTTCTAGCCTTAAAGTTTCTAAAACTTTCTCAAGATGATTAAGGTGTTAATCCAAGCTAGTGCTGTATACTAGAATAACATCAAAATACACAACAACAAAATTACATATGTAGGCTCTTAGAACGTGGTTCATGAGCCTCATGAAGGTGCTTGGTGCGTTGGTGCGTTGGTGAGACCAAATGGCATGACCAGCCACTCATATAGAACCCTCCTGGTCTTGAATGCTGTCTTCCACTCGTCACCTTCCTTCATTCTGACTTGGTGGTAGTGATATAAGATCAAGGGGTATGATCTTATAATGCTTGGGTGAATGGGCGGAAGCAAGCAGCTAGACTGAAATATCTTTCTACTTGCTCAAGAGATGATCGAAGTAGATGATTATGGGATCAATCGTGCTGGACTCAAGTCTCTTTCAGGCTGGATCAGTGGATGAGATGAATAGATGGATGGATCGAAGAACGCCACTCAAGGGTGTGAAAGCCTCTGTGATGAATTCTCAAACCTAGTCTCAAGGCATCGCATACAAAAGACATAGATTCAAATGTTTACTAAGTGAAGAATTCTATCTTGCT